GTGGTGGGGGGGTGTGTATGTGTCAGCCCGCGGGCCTCCACCCGGGATTCCTCTTTGTTCCCAAAACTAAGGAGAAACCCCGACCGGCTTGCTGTCGCTGAGCGGCTGGTCCCGTCTGGGTTGACGCCAAAATGCCGATCGTGAACGAGGAACCCGAACTTCCTCGTGGTTCTTTCCCGTCCGGGGCGCTGGGGTGGCTTCCTCGAGGTTGAGGTCGGTAAAGTCACCTTGGGCCTGAAACGGTGCAGGTTGAGGCGATTTGTCAATCGCGAACTTTTCGGCGGAGGCCGAGTGCTTAATGAGCTGCCATCACCGCCAGGCTGCCCAAACCCGCGCCGTGTTTCATCCGGCCAACTTCAAAGCCGGCTTTGCTGCAAGTTTTACGCCGGAGGTTTATTTTTTTTTTTTCAGGGAAAACATAGAAGTGGACGCTTCTCCCGCTGCCCTCTCCGCGCTGTGCCGCTGCACTCCGACCTTGCGGAAAGCTGCTGAGTAATCCTCAGCAAAGCACGTAAATAACCTCAGAACCTCGCTGGCTTCCAACGAGGCTTCCTCTCCTAAGCCGTTCTAGAGGGGTTTTGACATTTCCCACCTCTTCTGAAAAAAAAAAAACGTAAACGCCTTTTACAACTTAAATTCCTAGAAGACTTTATTCGTTGTATAATTTCCCCCACCACCACCCAAATGCTCCTTCGTTAGCAGTTACCGAAATGCCAACCGCTCTCACGAATCGTTCCAACTGGCCCTTCTTCTGCTTAGGTCTTTCCGGTTCCCAAGGGCCAGCGCCTTCCTCCAACCCTCGTGTCTGTCATTTTCTTCACCCAGAAGAGGAACCCTGTGATACAGGTAGGTTACGGTATGGATTTACATATATATTTTTATATATATACATATATGGATTTATACATAGGATGTTACGGATTTATTTGAAAGAGGTTGCCCTAAAATCTCTTGCCCTAAAATCTGGCAAGTTGCTCTTGCAACCTCCCTCCCTGTGTCCCTTCTCCTGCCCTGAGGGTCGTTTCCCCTAGTTTGGAGCGGGGCGCTTGGACCACAGCCGCCCTCTGGTATCAGCACAGGCTACAGCTCTGAGCTGCCCCTCAGGCAGAGAAATTTAGGCTCGTGGGGGGGGGAGGGCAGACTCACCTCAGAGCTTTGCCTTTACAAAAGATATGGATGCGACTGGCTCAGGCTACTTGGCTCCGAAAAAGCCAACCCAACTTTTCATCCAGCTTCCGTAAGCGGGTTCGCCATTGCCGTTGCCGACCCCCCTTCCCGAAGAGCTCGCCTTCCTGGCAGGCAGCTCTTTGCTCAACGCTCTCCTCCTCCCAGCCCAGCACAAAAGATGCCTTCCCCGGTGAAAAGCTCCTTTGAGCTCCAAGCTGAACACTGCCCCTAAGTCAAGTCTGAGCCATTCACCAACCCCCTTAACTCCGGTGGCTGCCCCCCCGCGTCAGATTTAGAAGTTGGAACTCTACACCGCTCCTTAACTGTGCCAGCAGTCAAGTGCCGCTCGCTCTCCGGTGCCTTCCAAAAAATCCCACATGTGCACCCCAAGAAATCTTAGTGGCACACGGAAGTGGCTACAGCAATTATTTTGTGGTTGGGATGCTCTCCAGCAGCTTGAATGTAGATAATTCTGCCGTGAATATGTCTCACGATCCACATCAAAGCCCGTAATGTCTGAAAAAAAAAAAATATGCAATAGTAAATAAAAAACTTCTGCCAAAACAAGAAACTTGACGTTAACGCGAAGATGGATTGTTTCCATGCCGGATCAGCTGGGGAGCGGGGAGTTGAAATCGGGTTTGTAACAGAAAGCGTGCTGCGATATTAACATCCATCTGTTATAAAAGTACAGGCGCTGCGTTCATAACTGTTAAAGCATTTCAGCTGACTCGAGGTCCCTCAGGGAACTTCGGTTCTTTCCTCTGTGTACAATTTCACAACTGGATTTGACATAAGTGCCCTTTTCACGTTCATTCCCTGGAAGTGATTTTTTTTTTTGCACCGTCTGGTTTTCCTCATCTGTTGGGTTGGGGTTGGTTTTTTTGAGTGACCAGATTGCTTAGGCTTCTCTGAAAGCACCGCTATTAATGTTATCTTAATAGTATTTTAATGTTTATCACTTCAACAGAGATCCCTCTCGCCTTTCAGAAACCAGTCTGACCAGATTTCTCAACTTTCGTACTCTGCCAGTACACCAATTTGTTCTAACTGTCTGTGTTAATGTTGTAAAAAACATCTTTATGGTTGCAGAGTGCTAAATAACTTAAATATGAGTTGCTTCACTGCCAGGAAAATAGACCCTGCCAGCACTTGCTTTAAAAATAGAATGTGGGCTCTACCGAACTCGCGGAAAGCTGCTCAGAGCATCACAGGGTACGTGGACTTTGCAGTATTGTGCTCTGAGAAGACTCCCTCCTGGTGCTGGTGGAGAAAAAGCGTGGCTGCCCGGCTCAGAAAGAGCGTTTGTTTTGGTTTGTGTCATTTGCTACTTACAACACATCTCGTGTTTGAGGTTGCAACGGGACAAAATTTCAAGCCCTGTGCAGCATCACTTGCATTTCAGAAATCCCAGCTTTAATGAAAACGCTCTTTCTACAGCTTCCAGAATCCGCGGAATGATGATGGGAGTCTAATACATTTTTTAAAATTTTTTTTTCCACATAGTCAGTAAAATTCTCCGACTTGTAGCCATTCCACCATGGCACCTCCGCCCTCCTTCCAGCATGGAGGTTTCTGCACACCTGTGGTGAACAGGATCAGTAAACCAACACGTATTAAAATGACCTCTCCACAAAGCTCCTCTTTGGCCAGCAGTGCTGGCTGATCCCACCTTGCAGGGTCAGTGGGAGTGCCACGTTAGCTCTTCTGCCTAAAAACGAATGTAACGCAGGGTCAGTTTGTGGGAATACCAGTTTACTGGGGGTTATCTTGGGCTTAGCTATGCGTTCTTAGCTCTTTCGGAAAAGCACACAGAACGGATTGCATTTGGTATGGTTTTGCTACCTGCTTGGTGCTGTGGAGGGGCAAACTTGAGTGAAGCTGTCACCTCATACAGCACAAAATGCCATGCTCAGGTAAGGCAGAGACTCTTCGGGTAAGTACTTACTCAAAGTCATTTTTCCCCTCACAGGGCATTTCTCTACAAGCAGTCAGGTTTAAGGTTTCCACCTATTTTTACGTAGCCTTTTCAAAACGCCTTTTGGCTCCTAACGCACGCCCGTTACCAGCTGCTGTGGCCGTGATTTTACCAAGTGGTGAACCCGGCGTTCAGGCCGCCGCCGCCAGACCTCACCCACCACAGCCGCCCAGCTCAAAGCATGAACACGGCACAAACACATCCCTGTCGAGTCCCGTTTGTTTCAAGATGCTCTGAACAGTTGATTTTGTGCCCGTCAGACTTTATGCAGCTCCCATTTTATGCAGCTGAGTTGCCAAAGGA